ATATATATTTCGGCAACTTTGTACAAGATTGAACATGAAGATTAGCAGTTGAGAGGATAGATTTGAGTTGACTAAAGTAAGCCTCGCTGCTTGAGACACAATTCTTTCTTTCCAACCACAAGTCCTTTTCTCTATGGATTGTATCACTTGATTGTAGATGATGTTCTTTTCTCTTTCCGAATCAATCCAAATACCAAGATATTTTCCTAACCTTATAGTAAAGTGAACTCCCAAGGAATTTGAAAGTGATACCTTGGTATTGTGTGCGACATTTGGGCTGAAAATAATTGAAGACTTGGACTTGTTGATTTCTTGCCCAGAAAGATTACAATAAGATTCTAGAACATGCTTGACCACAGCCATATTTTGTTTAGAGAACTCAAAAGAATAAGCTATCATCAGCATAAAAGAGGTGGGAAGTAGCTTGAGCTTCAGAATAAATTTTAATTCCTTTCCTTTGATTGGTGGATTCCAAATAATTGATCATGCATGATAAGACATTAGTTGCAAGAATAAAAGATAAGGTGAGAGGGGATCACCTTGCCTTGAACCCTTGGGATGCATTGTTGAATGAGATTAATCCATTTCCCAGAGATGTTCATTCTAGTCATCACAGCTGTAATGAAATCCCAGGACAATTTATTAAAAGCTTTTGACAAATCTATCTTCAAAGCTCCAATTCTTCCTCTTCCTTGTCGGCCATAATGTATCGGATGGGCAATGAATTGTGTTGTTAAAATAGAAAGTGAACCACTTATGTCTCAAACAAATTCAAAAAGAGCATCCTCACTTTTGATTATAATAACTAGCATATGCTGCCCATGCAAAGGAGATTAAACTTCCCAATATTAATTCAATAATCATAATTCATTTAGAAAATTAATTGACACATTAAGGCATATATTAGAACATAATATATTCGTAAATGGAACATGGTGAAAGAGAAATTTTGTAATGATAAATTCAAATCTTGCAAAATAACCACAGAGATCTATATTTTCAAAATAAATAATTGGTGATCAATAACTTAAAAATGAAAAAAAGAAGAAAAAAGTATCATGTTATGCTTCCCGAGTAAAAATCACCGACAGGCAATACCCACCACGTTGAAGAAATTACACATACTGAAATAAGCTTTCACTAATTACTAATGCAGGTGAAGTTTTATTTGTCTTGCAGAACAAAGAAAATCTTCCTTCATTTTGAGCTTGGGTTAATCTTTATGGGGCCATGGGAAATCCCACACAACCTCACTCGTCATAATTCTTTGAGTTAATGAAATACGAACCAGTGCCTCCCAATATTTAAATGTTAAATATAATAAACACAGAATCTTTCAGAAAAATTTATTATTGACGTCAATATAAAATATTAGGAGAATCTCAATTAATTTCAGCTAAAATATCTAAATATAAATTAAGGTCTACATTTTTAACAAATTTTTAATAAGATCATGAGGTCTAATTAAAGATTTCTGAGTATTGTTAAATGATTAGAATACCCAGTTTTAATTAAGAAGAAAAATTAATTATTTTACCCCTGTTAAGTAGTCCTTCATCTTTTATGATTATTTTTTAAGACAAAAGAACATATAAGTAATTTTATAGTGCTTAAAATTTGTATATATTACCGAAAACTTCAAAAATATTTTAATAAAACGTTTTAAATTACAAATATAAGTAATATTTAAATAAATTTTTTTATTTTTAGTTCTAATAATTTACTTTAGTTGTATTTATTTAAGCAATACCGGATCAATGTCAAGACGTAAATTATAACACTTAATATTAAACATTTCTTGTCAATAAAATATTTTCAAATCTTAATATAAATAGTTACAGCCTGAAAAAAATATTTTTTTAGGATTTCTTATATTGTAATGTAATATGATTTAGTTATATATACAAAATTTTAAACACTGAAAAATATTTATATATTTTTTAATCTAAATATTAATCATAAGATATAAGGAATCACTTGGCAGAGGTAAAATAATCAATTTTTATTTTTAATTAAAGAGAGGCATTCTAATAATTTAACGACATTCAAAAATTTCTAATTAGGTCTCATGTCCTCATTAAGAATTAAGAATTTGTTAAAAATATAAACTTGAATATAAATTTAAGTATTTTAACTGGATTTTATTGAGATTTTTTCTGAAATATTTTGCATTTCACTTTGAAACAATTTGTTTAGCAATGACAATAATATTATCAGATACAACTAGTTTATTGCATTGGATTTACGTTTTAGCTTCACACACATGAGGCGGGAAAACAATAGATCTAGAATTGTGATAAGTTAATTAACCATTTGTACTCTACAAAAGTAATTATTTGAAAACTAGAATGATTAGAATTATAAACTAATTAAGCAATCGCGATTTCAACACAATATATTTAATATCTTTGTTTCAATCTTACTTAGGCATAATTTATTCCATTCACTATATGTGGGACTTATTTTGGAATTAAATTTTACTAAATGATTGCAATTTAATGCAAAAGTTCGGCATTTATCTTCCTTATTGTCAATTACCAAGAATATGACATCTTGATCTCTCCAAACCAAAATCCTGGATTTAAATTTGATAATACTGATAGTATATTCGCCGAAGGCTAAAGTTACTAAGACAAGAAATCCTTGTGTGCACACAATATCCTATTACTGAAAATTTTTCTGTCAAATGTTTCACAACAAAAGTAACTTGACATTGTGAAAGACAGCCGTAGTAAATCGTGATTTTGAAACATTGATATTGAATCTGATAATATTTTTTTTCCCCTTCTACATGCAGCAGTATATAATAGTTAGATTGAATAATATCTTTATATAACATCTGTTTCCATTGGTAGATAACCGCCAAATACCATACAATTTTCATTGGTAGAGCCTTTTTCAGCATCTCCTCCCTCAAAATATGCTAGCTCAGATTGCAACTATATCCACCCTTCAAAGGCTTAACTTTTCTATGGTTAGCAGCAAAAAATAAACTCTTATAAACCATAAGATATTTTAAGTTGCAACTGAAAAGGTTTCATTTTATTTTCTACAATGAGCACAATAGAGAGAGAAACAAATCACCATTAACACATCAAGAGAATCAAGTTGTCAAGAACAAAGGCAAAGAGTCTAAAGTCATAGAACACTCAACAATCAGCATAAATATGGATACAGATAAAGTGAAAAGAGAATCACTCCATCCTAATACCAAGTGTATAAGCGGAAGAGATAACCAAGTGTGTATCTTACAAGAGGCAATGCTGTTACGTTGGGAGGCACAGCAAAATTTTGAACATCCTTATCAAAGATAGGACAATGAGTCAAAGTAGCATATTCATAGCTGTACAAATTATGAAAGTGTTTTTAAAGTGAACGATATAGAGGAAAACTGCAATAGTGAAAGGGCCAAAACTAGGTCCATGCATATTTTGACTCTTGGTATTGGCACTCTCGCAGTTCATAAACACTTTCGATGAACAGGACTCAACCTCAGCCCCTCTCCGAAGGAACTTCCTATACATCATTATAATATCAATCACAAGGTTAAGCAAGGAGAACTTAATATTTAGAATACAAAATATAAAGCAATCGTGCCACTTTTACTTGCAAAGTGTAATAAGTAAGAAACAATAACAAAAATGTCATCAACATAGTGGGGGAGCCCAAAGTTAATGCTTGATATATTTGCAATCTGTTATATGATGAAGTATGATAAATTTCTATCAGAGCCATATAAAAACTCTGATAAATGATAATGACAAATTATGCTATTTGACATGTTCAAAGAGATAAAACATTTGTCCGTTAAATCACCTTAAGACAACAATAAAGGACACAATGTATGTGCCATAGATTCATGGTCCAAAAGACGCTATAGTTTCTTAAAATTAATAAAGAATAACGAATGAAATGCATTACCTCATCATACCACAATAAGAGACGGAAGCCTATTAAACTGTCACCACATTGAACAATAGTGTTATCTGCTCCTCCTCCTCCTCCTCCTGCTTCTATGGTTATCAAGGATTTCTTAGGAGGAATGATCAGATTTTCACTGAAACACAAAAGGTTTCTTTTAACCCAAGGCACAAGATGAGACCCTGGTGGAAGAAAAGACAGTCATTAGCTTTGAAGCTTTTCATAGCCAAACAAAAATACCTTAAAAAATAATCCCCCGTCTCCCCTGAGAAAACCCCCCTCCCCCCACCAGGAAATTTCACTTGCCCCGATTTCAATGTTCAAAATCTCAAGCATATATAAATAAAATATCATTCTCTTATGGAACATTCATATGACATACAAGCTTACATAAGATTCGCTGCCAGAGCATAATTTCTATGAACATACAGGCAAATCAAAACATGGTGCAAGAACACACTTTGTTTGAGAAAAACATCTTCAAAGACGGGAGAAGTCATTATAAATGTTTGCAAAACGTTCATATTTGGGGCATCCTTTTAAAGACCCAAGTTCAAGAAATGGTTTAAGCATCTTTTAGTGACACATAAGCAGAAGGGGAGAAGCAAAAGCAATAGTGAGAGAGAGATGGAATAGATGAAGAAAAGCAGAGGAAGAGCAGAGAGCAGAGATGCCTTGTTGAATGCTTAGGACGGAAGCACTGATTCATCGACGAGCATGAAAGAATACTGTGAAGGAGAAGAAATCATAGAACGGTTTGCGGAGGAAGAATTTGAAGTGAGGATGAGGGAGATTGGAAGATTATGGATATTTTGGATTAGCGATGACAAAACTAACTTTTATAAAAATCAGTTAGGATAAAAGTTAGTTAATATAATATGATTTATGTTTGAATTGATATTTCTAAAAAGTCTGTTTGAAAAGTTAAAACTTGTTTGGATGGATAATTAAAAAAGTAAATTTAAACATAAAATAGCTAAAAAGGACATGAGTTTTTATATAAGACTCAATTAACTAATTTGATAAGATTAAGAAAATTAAATAAATTACTGAAAAGCATTTATATTTAATTAATTTACTTGACTAATAAACTAATATATACTTTAGTGATATATATAAGTATTTTAAAAAGATCATGGATTATATAATATAGTTAATTAATTTATTTAGCATTTTTAAACTGCTCAAATTAATCTATTAAGATCTTATATTAATGAGTAAATGTGATATATCACATATATATACAACTTGTAAATATTTAAAAACAAATAATTATATATATTGAATAAATAAATATATGAAAATTACAAATAACAACAAATGATTAAAAGATTAAAGGTAACAGAAAATCTAATTAAAAAAGTCAAATTAGAAAAACGTAAAACACAACCAAAAAAAAAAACAGAGAGAGAGAGGCTTTATTCAGAGAGAAGAAAAGAGGACAAACCTGGAAAGTAGTTATGCAACCCAACGCAAACCAGCGCACCTAACGTGATAGTAAAAAAAAATGGCTTCAGCCCTAGCGCAGGTTTCGAAGCTAAATAACTTCGGAGCTACCGCTGATCCAAACAAGAAAAATTTGACAAAACAATTTTTAATTGAACAAACATATAAGAAGAAGAGAAAAATTATTTTTTAAAAAAAAAACTATAACCTATCTTTTTTATCTGAAAACTTTAAACGTTTTTGTTAATGAAAAATGACATCTAAAGACTTAAATTTTAGTAATTTAAAAAAATTAAACTTTTTAAATATTATATTTTTTTCAACGTTTTCTTTTAAAATAATTTATTTTTATCGAAAAATATTAGCCAAACGATTCATGGCTTTAGAGTATAAAGTGATTGTCAAGGCATAAAGTGATAATAACTTTAGAAATATAAATATATATACTATCTTTAGTCTTTAATATAAGAACTAATTTTAATTTTAATTTTGTTCTAAATATAAGATCCTGATCTATTTTATATCTCATAGTTATCTATTTTTTTTAAAGTAGTCATTCTAGTAGTTGCATATAATAAAAATTTTATTAAATAGTATTTCTAGTCAATATACATTATTAGTAAATATATTTTAGAAAAGGTAACACCTATTTATTATTAATAACTAACTTAACTAATTTTTTCAATATTCATAAATTAATTATGTAGTTCTCATATTATAAGGATTGGAAGTAATATTAACAATAGAAAATGATGTGAAATAAAGGTTAATTTTTCTCCTTTTCTTATATTTTGGTTAATTTTTAGCCAAAATTTTTTTTTTGAATTAATAAAATAAGTCTTCAGATGTGATTTTTAATTAACAAAATCGTTTGGAGTTTTTTTGGCAAAAAAATGGTTTGGAGTTTTCAGATAAAACAGATGGTTTATAGTTTTTTTTCCCCATAATTTTGCTCATTTTCTTATATATTGGTTTAATTAAAAAGCTAAAAAAAGATATTTAACTGATTTTTTTGAAAAAATGTTTTGGGGTGGGTAGATCCACAAACTGGGATTAGGCATTTCCTCGTTTCTCACCCAATGCCTTTGTCTCTATCTATTTGTCGAAGTGCCCTGCCCTTTATTTTATTATTCTTGCTCCCTTGTCATTTTGCTTCAAACGGTGCCGTATAAAGGTAGCGAAGGGCAACGAACCATAGCCGCAGTGGAGAGAAGCCAGGCCAAAGATTAATAGCATCTGGGGTCGGTGATGGGAGACGTACAAAACCAGAGTTGGCAGCGGGAGGCTCGAGAATTTTGAAATTTGAATTTAAATTGACAGGGAGCTCCTTGGCAAATGAATAGGCTGCGTGCGAAGCCCAAGGAATGACATTATTTAAAACCAGCCCAAACAAAGCCCGAGGCAAACCATGTGTCCTAAGCCACATTTGAGCCAGCTTGCCGGAAAGGATTTACATGATATATTTTTTTTATCTTATTTATAAATTACTTTTAACATATTTTATATAAATTAAAAAAAATTTAAACTGTATTAACTCTTCATTAGAATATAATAATTTTTTAACTTTATCTTTTTTCATTAACTCTCCATTAATATGAACACTTTTTTAAAAAAATAACTATAATAAAAGACAATATAATATATTTATGATAAAAATTTAATGAAATAACTTATGAATAAGATAAGAAAAAAAGTTCTTTTTCTTTTATATAAATAAAACCGGAGAAGTATTGATTAATCGACGACGATGACTGATGATTGATGATTGATTCTTCTTAATTTATATTAAATTTAATTAATTAATTGTGCTCATCACGTGTTGCCCACTTGCTTGACGCGCCTTCCAAAATTGAGGTAGACCTTTAATCATCACAGATGGAGGGACGCAAGTTTAGTCTCAGTTGAGTCTTCCTCAAAATCTCATCTCAGAATAAAGTTTGGCCACAGGAATCTCGATGGTTTAGAATCTGGACTGCTGACTTGATCTGAAGAGAGGATTGGTCCTAGTTAGTAAGGTAGCACTTTCTCCTATTTCGGTCAACGCAGATTAATCTTCTGATTCTCTGGTTCTTCTACTGGTTCTTCTTATGTTTTGAACTTGAGCTCTTCCCCAATATTTCAATCTATGAAACCCCCATGTTTTGATCTGTTAACTAGAACCTCAACTTTGTCTTCGTCTATGATTAATGTCTGGGTTTGTAGGCTGAAAAGCCAAGCCTTTGAACAAGCCCAAGGTTGATCAGAAAGAATACACTGAGGTATCTCATCGATCTCCTTTTCAGATTTTAATTTGGTGCCTTTAAACTCTAGTTTCTATATCACCATGGCTAAAAGAATAGAAATTAGTGTTTCAAATCAACTTTTTCGTTGGACTTGCATTAGATAGTTCGTAATACGGCAAGCCTTCAAAAAGTAGAAAGATGTCTGGTTTGGGGTTAATTAGTTAAGATTCGTGTTATTTATTAATTATTGTTTTTACTTTTAGGTTAAACGCACAACACATACAATACAAATAGCGTTTTTTTTTTTTCCAGAAAAAGAAATTGCTCTAATTAACATGTCCACTACTTAGCATTGTTTTGAAGATATGGCTGAAGCTGGGGGAATCATATGGGACATTACCAAGTGTTTTTGTGTTGGAGCCAAGAAAGAAGCTGATTATATTCGTAAATTGGAGAACAATTTGGAGTTATTGAAAGATAAATGGGAAGATCTTCGAAGCATGAAAGAGGATTTGAAGACAAGAGTTGATGAAGCTGAGAACACAGGACAAATGCAAAGAACACACGAAATCGATAGATGGCTGACAAAAGTTGACAACTTTCGACAGGTACTGCCCATCCAACCTGTTCTTGATTTCCTTTTAAAATTTTCTTTTCAGTTTAATTTTAAAGTGTTTATTATATGATCACGGGTAATCCGCCCTTTACATAAGAGCTAAATCATTAGTTTACAAATATTAAAAAATTAGATAAATTAATTATTTGTAATAAATAGATGTTATTTTTTTAAAATACTCTTATTAATCATATGTATTAGAATAAAAAATTCTTATTATATGTAATCAATATGAGGATTATTTTGGAAAATAATAAATAAATATGAGAAGTAAAGTGGACTAAGGTATTATATTAATGACTAAATTGAATCTCTAATTAACTCTTATATTTATGATTGGAGGTGGAATATACTAAAAAATTTAGGAAGTTTAGGATAGGCATTAGCCATTAGAGAGAGGAAACAAAAAAAAGTAATGGAAGGAAATTAAATTGATTTTGAAAGACTTGAAAATGTAAAATCCCCCTGTATCCACATCACAAGGCTGCATTTTTACACAAACTTCTACTTAAATTAAAAGTCACATGACACAAAAAACCCTCTCTAATTTGAATATTTCATTTTCATTTACCCACATTAATCAATCTTTAAATCACCAGATTTGGACTAAGACATCCCTAGCTAACTTAAATATTTATTTTTTGACCAAAAAAATTAAATATTTATTGAAATTTTAATTTTTTTAAAGAAATTTTTTAGATAGTATTTAAAAAATAATTTTAATTTTTTTAATGTTTAGATCCATATGTTGCCCTAACAAATCTTTCAGGCATGTATGTACAAAAACAAATGAGGTAGCTTTTAGGGCAACAAAAAAAATTAGGTAGGAATTTAATTAAAAAAAAAGAAGCAAAAATTGGTCAATAAATTTTTCATTTTTTTTTCCTTTTCTACTCCATATTTTAATAAGTTTTACTATAATATTTTATAAACACTATTTAAATATTTTATATCTATAATTAAAATGATTTAAATTGGAGAGAGAGGGCAAACAATTAGATTATGAGGATATATTAAGAATTTTAAATTTTTAACATAATTCTCAATTAATAAAATTCTATTTTAGAATTTTTAATAGAATATTTTAATGGTGTTTCAAATGATAATAAAGCGTAGATTTTAAAATTAGAGGGAAGATTTATATAATTTGAGTAAAATTGAAGAGAAGTCAAGTATATTTTACGTATTTTATAATGATAGTTCATCTTAAGTCCCCCCCCCCTTTTTTTTCCTGGGAATGAACGATGTTGCTTCAATATCCAATTTATGAATGGAAAATCAGTGTCTTATATTTTCGCCCAAAAAAAAGGGGACAGTGTTTATATTTTCAGGAACATAAAATAGACAGTTGATCAATGATGTAATAATTAATTACTAAGTAAATAGATATGTTTAATTCATAGAATAATGAAATTTACAAATTGATTTATTTTATAATTAATGATTCATAAAAATGTTTGTATTTTTAGTGAAAGTAATAAAAGTTATTATTAGAGTGATAAATCTTACCACCATTACATTTTACCTTAATTACTAAATTCCACTTTGATTTGCAAAACATACATTTTGGTTTAACATATTAAGAGCCTCAAACAAAACTAAAAGGATATTTGTTTTAATTGAAAACTATATTAGAAATTTAGAATTAATCTTATTTAAAACTTGTTCCCTGCTCAAAATAAATTTCTAATCTATATCTTAATAGTGTATTTAATATTTACTGGTTATCTGTATAATATAATTAGTAAATTCTTTTAAAAAAATTTATTTTAACCAATATGAATATATTAAAATATATGCATAGAACAAATCGTTTTATAATGTTATTTGACTGTTGATAAATGATGTTGTAATTAATTACTACGTAAACAGATATGTTCAATTAATAGAATAATCAAATTTACAAATTGATTTATTTCATAATCTATAGTTTGTAAAATTATATTTATTTTTTGCATGTAAGACTGTGAGTAATATGCAAAGATTGTAATTTATACATGCCTAACACAGGAAATAACAGTTATTCAAGCTCAAGAAGCTAAAGAAATGAAAGACAAATGTCTAAGTAAATATTGCCCGAAGCATTGTAAGTCAAGCTACAGGTTAGGAAAGAAAGCTGCTGAGATGCTAGAGAAGGTAGATCAGTTGGCAACAGAGGGCAAAAGGTTTGGCGAAAATCTTAAAATTGCTCACACAATACCACCCGAGCCAATTGAGATGCCTCAAGATGAAGTAGTGGGGTTAGATTTGATGTTTAATAAGGTATGGAAGAGCATTGAAGAAGAGAATGTTGGCATTATTGGTTTACATGGGATGGGCGGGGTAGGAAAGACTACCTTGTTAAAGAGAATTAACAATGAACTTGGGAAGAGGAGGCAAGAATTTGATTTTGTGATGTGGGTTGTGGTGTCAAAAGAGCCCAATTTGGATAGTATAATGGACAATATTAGAAAATTGGTTGGGATTGGCGATGACATTTGGAATCGCTGTGGTAATCAGCTTGAAAAAGCAGCAAAGATTTATAGGGTCCTCAACCAAAAGAAATTTGCCTTATTATTGGATGACATGTGGGATGAGATGGACTTGAGCTTGGCAGGAGTGCCACGTCCAGGGAAAACTAATTGTCAATCCAAAGTGTTATTCACAACTCGGTCAGAAAATGTGTGTGCAAAAATGCAAGCTAAAAGAACATTCAAGGTAGAAGCTTTGACAGAGGAAGAAGCCACAAAGTTATTTTGCATGAAAGTTGGTGAGGACACTTTGAGGTCAGACCCTAGTATTCCAAAGCTTGCAGAGAAGATGGCTAAAGAATGTAGAAGGCTACCACTTGCGCTAATTGTGGTAGGAAGTGCCATGGCTGGAGTGAAGAGTGTGGAGGCTTGGGAACATTCAATAAAGAACTTAACAAGTTCTTCACTAACTGCACCAGATTTGGAGAAGAAAGTATTCTCCGTCCTCAAATTTAGCTATGACCGATTGGATGAGGTGCAAAAGCGTTGCTTCTTGTATTGTGCATTGTACCCGGAAGATTGTGAAATTCGAGTTCTCAAGCTCATCGACAGATGGATGTTGGAGAAATTTCTTTGTAAAGATATGACAGAGAGTGTGCAAGATATGTATGGTCATGGTGAGTCTATTATTGAAAAGTTGAAGCTTTCGTGCTTGTTAGAAACTGTTAAAGATGATATTTTTATGTTACGTACAGTTAAAATGCATGATATGATTCGTGACATGGCACTTTGGATAGCACGTGATCAAGATAATATGAAATTTATGCAAAGAATTTCAATCATGAATAATTGGGAATTAGGAAAAATCCGAGATCCTCCAAATGCCACAACAGTAGTTTTATCGAATAGAAGTGGTGTCACACATCTGGAAGATATTAAACACATGAAAAGATTGAAAGTCTTGGACATACGTGTCACAGGACCATTACTTGGCGACATTGGGGGTTTAGTTTCTTTGGAATATCTTTCTGTGTTTACTTATGAGAGTTTCGACGCAGAGTTTGTGAATAACTTGCAGTACTTGACAAATTTAAAGCTTCTTAGCTTGGATGCATATGTGAAATCTTTTCCATTGGGAGTGCTATCTAGTCTTCAACAATTAAGAGTGGTTAGACTGTTCAACATAGAATATTCAAAAGAGAGAGGTATTTTAGAAGAGTTGGAGTGCCTACCAAGTATTGGGGAATTATGCATAGGAATAACAAGTAAAGATGGTCTGAAAAAATTATTGGAGTCAGCCAAACTGCAAAGTTGCATATACAGCCTTCAGATTGGCTTCTCCTACGAGAATGATGTGATGCCTTTATCATTTGCGTTCTTATCACAAATGAAGCAGCTACGGGAATTTCATCTCGTGTTGTTGGAGATTAGAAGAGAGCAATATTCTTTTGTTTTTGATACAGGTTGTCTAATCAAGCTCCGAAAAGTGACAATTAGTTGTTGTTCACTAACTCATGTGACATGGCTCAAGTATGCTCCACTTCTTCAAGAACTTGAGATTTCTAAGTGTCAGTCAATGGAAGAAGTGATAAAAGAAGAAGAAGATGATGAAGACTACTCAATAAAGAATAATGAGAATGTGGATTCTTCTTCTTCTTCTTCTTCTGTATTCTCTTCTATTGTCACACTGCGTTTGGAGTACTTACCAATACTTGAGAGCATTCAAAAGGCACCCTTGCCTTTTCCTTCCCTCAGATCCATTACGATAGTCTGGTGTCAAAAGTTGAACAAGCTACCACTCGATTCCAACTCTGCCAAACATAAGTTGACACATATCCATGGATCTCAAGATTGGTGGGACAAGTTGGAATGGGATGACCCTGCAGCAAAGCACAAATTCCAATCAAAGTTTAAACCTTACTGAAAGGTAAATACAATATTATAGCATAAATATAGATTTCAACTCTTTTTACTTTCATGTGTAATAATTATTGCTTACAGTATCAATTATACCTGTACATGTTGCAGATTGGTTTCACCATCGGGAGCAATGATCATTGGTTTTCATTTGCTTTCTTTCTCCAGCTTTCTCGCTTGAAGACCTTATATAAGTATGTAGCTGAGCTTTTAGACTCAAAAAAAAAAAACAAACAAACGATGTATTGTTTGTATGATTTATTAGTATTCCGTTAATAATCATATACACCTATTCTGTGTGTTTTTATATCCTTTATTCTTTTCTTCTTCTTTTTTTTCACTTAATGAGCTGGACCTTTTTTATGTCAGTTAGCACTGTTTGATAAACTATTTCACCATTTGCTTTTAACATTTAAAGGAAAATACTGCAGAGAGAAACCTTTTTTATTTAAGGTTTGGTTTTTGGCATAATCCCTCTCTTTGTATTTATTCCCACTCCATATAATCTTATTATAATATTTATCCATAAAATTAAGAGACCACGTGTGACTAATCTCCTTTCTTATATTTATTCAAAGTATCAGTTTGAAAAATCATTGTTCGTTATAAAAAATAATTATATGAAACTTCAGGGTATTAGAGATTTTTTTTTTGGACCACCTTCAGGGTATTAGGATTAAAAGATTAAAAAGATACCTTTTAGCATTCAGGAGTTAAACTGTAACATTATGTAAATTTAAAGAAGCAAAGGTATATTTTTGCCCTAACTTTTTTTATTTATGGTATCTCATAAAAAGACTATCAATTTAGTAATTATTATCTCATTTTTTTTTAATAAAACATTATCATCTCACCTGCTATCGTCGTTAGCATATAACTAACGTGGCTGGTTATTCTGTTCCCAACGCCTCATCTAATTAAAAATTAACTGCAGATTTCTGGCATGTTACAGATTATTCCCATTTTTTATTAAATTGCTATTACGTTTTCTTTTTATATTCAAGCATGAATATAATTTTTGAGGGACAGAATCTTTTTATTTAAATCATTTTACTATTCGTTTATTTATTTACTTATTTCGTTGGCAAAAAAAAATTACTTGTTTATGTTTTTGGATAAAATTTATTTATTTATTTTCATACTATTAACTATATTCTTGAAAGCTTGCAATATTCTATTTGTTTAAAAACTGATCGGGTATGACATTATAATATCTAAATATATTTAATTAATAGGATTTAAATAATACTTTGTTTTAGGTATATTGAATTAAATAAGGAATATCATTATTAAATGAAATTTTAATTGGAGGCCTAAATGAATAAACTAATAATTAATTTTGAATTTGAATAATATCTTAATTGAGATTTGAATAGAAAGTATTATAATTAAATAATATGTTAATTGAAGACTTAAATAGATAAATAAATAAATAAATTTAAATTTTTATATTTTTTTAAAAATTTCATAAATTTAATTTAAACCTCATTTAAATGAATAAAAAATTATTTAAAATCTAATCAAGTACTCGTATTTTAGTAGCTGATGAACGAAAAGTGGGCTGCTGCTTGCGCCTTTTGCTATTGGCACAATATAATAAGCGACAGAAATTCGCGAAAGGCAACTGTGGGAGCCTGGGAGGGGGTAAGGTCAAGGCTGAAGTTAAGGGAGCTCTTCTCGCTTTTGGATTCGGACCGAACCCTAGCTCTACATCGCAACCATGTCGTCCAAGCAAGGTATCTCCTTCTCCTATGTTGGTCATCGGAATAACCTGATTCTCCGATTCGTCTGATTTTTCTTATGTTTTGAGCTTAAGCTTCTCCCCTAACTTTCGATCTATGAAACCCTCATGTTTTGATCTGTTAACTGGAACCTTGATTTTGCTTTTGCCTTTGATTAATATTTGGATTTGTAGGTGGAAAGGCCAAGCCTTTGAAGAAACCCAAGTCTGATCAGAAAGACTACGACGAGGTATCTCACCGATCTCCTTCGGGGATTTTGCTCCTTTTAAACTCCGGTTTCTAGATCAGCATGGCTAAAAGAATAGAAATTTATAAGTCAAGATAACCTTTTTTGTGGACCTGTGTGATAGATAAAATGAATAGACAGCTCGTAATACGTCGCCTTCATAGAGTAACGAAGATGTCTAAAAGAAATGGCATAAAGATGTCTGGTTTGGGGTTAGTTAAGATTCTATGACTAATATGTTAATTATTAATTGTGAAGTCTAGATCTATTTTTATAGACTCGCAGCTGGTGTTCTTGATGTAACCTTATTTGGTACAAATATCAAAGAATTTTCCCAGGACTTCCGTTCTTTACTCTGTATCGAGCATCTACGGCATGCTAATGTTGCTTCTCCTTTCTTTGCGTTTCCTACATGTAATTTTTCTTGATTAATCCATCGGATATCAACTAATGGTTTTTCACCGTTATTTCCCATTCCTTCTTACCAAAGAGAGTTCAATCTAAATTTGCATCTTTTTTGGATCACAAAAGGTGCCTCTTAAGACCAGTCAAGCAAGGAAGAGGAATGGGACCAAGCTGTTCAATCTCACTTTATTCTGAAAGATCAATACTTGCTAGTGTTTTGCGAACTTTGATCTCATTGGCTAAAACTGGAATTTCATGCAAATAGTCATAGGAAATTTACTTGGTGATCTCATTTCTAGTGCTTTTTAGTTTTTGATGGTGGTCTGGGGTACGGTCTTCATTCATCACACGGGGAACTGCTATGTACTTTCAGAACTGCTATGTATTTTCACTCGTCCGTTTATCACTTTGGAAAATCCTTGAATTGTAACATGTCTTCATGCCCTGATGTATTTACGGACACCAACAAACAGCATTTGTACAAGCCAAGAGACAGCCATCGCATTAATGTTTGAATATGTTTGAGATCTTACATTTGATTTTATATCGGTATCTGTACTTTGCAGGTCGATTTGGCTAACATTCAGAAGAAAAAGGAAGAGGAAAAGGTTCGATATCATATCTTTTATGTTGTACTTACAAATTGATTTATTGTTAATGTGCCAATTCAAACGTATTTCTTTTGAATGCTTGAAACAGGCACTAAGGGAGCTGAAAGCCAAGGCACAACAGAAGGGGGCCTTTGGAGGTTCTGGGCTGAAGAAGAGTGGAAAGAAATGAGGACTTACCCTTTAATGGGACATATAGTTATTGAGCTGTAACTAAATATATATGTTGCTTTGAGAGAATCTCTGATTAATGTGGTCTGTGCACTGGATACTTTCTTGCTTGTATTTGGGAACCTAACTGCGTTGTGTCACGAGCGCAATAAATTGCTTGTTTGCAGCTTTCCTCTAAGACTTTCTTGTTACTTGATTGTTGTGAAATGTCTTTGGCAACGTTGGATGGACATGGATTGTGACAATTAAGGAATATATCTCCCCTTTAAGACTTGCATCCGCCAAATTGCCAATTTCAGAGAAAAAGGCCACATTGTGTGTCGGTGAGATCGACCTTCAATGACAAAAGGGGGGTTTAATCAATTTTTAGCTCCACATGTCATGTCTCCCTCTGAAAATGGCATGGGAAAGTTTCTCAACATTTTGAATTGCAAATTCAGAAGAGCAGCAGGAATGAACAATCATTATGATAAAAATTTACACATTCATCTGAGCTATTCATTTTGTCTTTAATATAAGGTTTATTTAATTAATTTGATTAGATTAAGGAAGTTAGAAAAGTGAGTTAATTTTGAGAAATATGACAATTTTTCTAACATATCATAATTTTTTTTCTGAACTGTTATGATACGGAGTTGAGGGTGATTGCTCGAAAACGTCATTCTTTGTTTGATTTTTCATCGAGTTTGCAGTTTAGATCAACAGGAATGATCCGAGACGGATTGGATACACAATATTTTCGTTAGCTTCAATAAAAATTAGAATTTTCTTCTCATGCAATACCAAGAATAAATACTAGCCTAAATTATACGACGACAAATAATCTTAAGGTCAGGTCAGCAACAAAGATTGTAATTGTATTCTATCAATAAATAGCTCTTTGAACAGGGTATTCACCAAATAGATTTTAAATAACAGTTTGGAATATATTTTGATATTAAAATCTTATACAAATTCAGATAATAGAATGGAAACAATATATATAGAATAAAAATGTAAAAATGCTAATAATATGACTTGTGGACTTGTGGTTAATGGTTTACTGCTGAAAAGTTTTTACTTTTTTTTTTTTTTGGTTAGACGCAGATATTCTTATCTAGGAATAATCATATTTGCGATATCATCAAGTACTAAATATGAATTTCGAATCTTAGTTTACAATTTTGTGAGAAACTAGTCTTTTTGGTACATCCAACCCCGGCTAATTTTTGCTTTTCTATGTATTTGAATGGACAGGCTATGAAGGTAAAACAAAAAAACGGGCGGGCTATTCTTCCTCGACAATAAATCTCTGTGACTTGAAAATTATTGTCGTAATTAATATTACTGCTCGGTTATCATTCTCACGCTCCGTTAATCAAAACATAGTAGCCAGGATTGAATGCATTATACATGTAGACATGACCCATGATTTTAAAAAGAGAAACACATAAAAACTATGGTAAATGGTATTATCATTGTTTCTTACATGGCGAGGCATGCAAAGTTGCAAACGTTCTAGGCACGAATTTGGACTCCCGGACAACCTCTCATGAAAGGGGATGCTGGCCTCTCGCTCTCTTCACGTTCTCAGCACACTACATTGCCCACGAAATAGGAGCCGTTTGTTCGCTTTTGTTTCGGCCAATCATTCAGAAATATACTTCTCTTCTTTGTCATCCGTCTTTGGTTCTCCCTAGAAAGTGGGGATGATAAGGATTTGGTAACAGCCAGAACTCAATTTTCCAACTCAGAATCCAACTACGGCCCGGCTAGCAAAACAAAAGAAGGAACAAAATTGGGCTAAAGAATGGCGTTTTAGCCTGTCCTGCTTCATATGATTTAAATTGCAAAGCAAGAACCAGAACACACAGCCAGAACCAGAAGAAGTTTTGAACTTTCAATCGTATTAAATTTTGGGTCTGCGGAGCCAACGAAAAAGAAGCAAGATTTGAATAGCAGAGCAAACGCCAGAATCTAGAAAAATGTTGAGCTCTGAATCCCATCACATGAGTTTGCAGAATTGAGTTGGAAAAGAAGCACACAAAAGAAAGGCGTTTGAGCTTGAATGTGCCAGAAGTTGTGATGCATTTTGTATGACAAGTTAAAAAGGGTAATGTCAGGCTCAAAGGTTGATGTTGAGAGAGGAAGCAGTTGGAGCGGAGAATTTGTGGCAGGAGGGGTAGGGGGTGTGGCTGGAGTGATATCTGGTTATCCACTCGACACCCTCCGAATCCACCAACAGAATTCAAATATGGCAACTTCCGTGTTCAGCTTAATAAAAAATATGGTTTCCAGGGAAGGCCAGCTTCTCTCTACAGAGGCATGGCTGCACCTTTGGCTGCTATCACTTTTCAGGTCCTCTTTCTCTCCTCTCTATTTTGATCCTTCGACATAGTTTTTCCTAAATTTCACCAAAGGTAGGTCGATGCCATTGGCCTTTCATTGTCATTTGAGAAAGGACTAATTACAACTACATACTAGTGCCGCCACAACTCAAAATTGAGTTGATTCAATAAGAGTATCTAATATATTTATTACCTATGTTAGTTCCCAGTAGAGAAAATAAAATCTTGTTGGATTATCCCCCTCCAAGTACACAAGAATGACAATGATTATTTTGTTTGTCTTCAAATCTTCACCAGCAACTAAATATCATTATCTCATAATGATCATTCTTGTTTTTTTTCCCTCTCTCTTTTGGTTCCAGAATGCTATGATTTTTCAAACTTACGCGGTTCTCTCTAGAGCCTTTGACTCATCAGTCTCAGCAAATAGCCCTCCTTCCTACAACAGCGTTGCTCTAGCAGGATTCATAACTGGTGCATTACAAAGCACGATTGTGTCCCCAGTAGAACTGGTCAAAATTCGCCTCCAGCTTCAGAGCAAGGGCCCATTAACAGAATCCTAAAGGCCCTTTATCAGTCACAAGGAAGATATGGAATGGGGAAGGTCTTAGAGGAATATTCCGAGGATTAGGCATCACTGTCCTCAGGGATGCACCTGGTCATGGCGTATACTTCTGGACATATGAGTATATGAAGGAACAACTTCACCCAGGTTGTAGGAAACCAGTCAAGAAAGCTTGAGTACAATGTTAATAGCAGGAGGATTAGCTGGGGTAGTAAGTTGGATTGGCTCTACCCTTTTGATGTTATAAAGACAAGACTCCAGGCTCAAACACAATCCTCACAAAGATACACAAGCATTATTGATTGCCTGGAAAAAAGTGTCAAAGAAGAAGGACACAGTGTTTTGTGGAGGGGGATGAGAACTACAGTGGGTAGAGCTTTTATAGTGAATGGTGCTGTGTTTGCTGCTTATGAAATTGCTATGAGAAGCCTGTCAAATAATGGAAGTAGTAGCAATAACAAACCTAGGAGATCCGTCCTTTTCTAGGAACACAAGACAATGAGACAACAATCAAACAAGTGTCTACGAAGCAGATAAAAGTAAGATTTCACATCTGACAATTATTGCCTAGTGTACTTGCCATATGCATGTTAGAGGATGTTTAATACAAAGTTGGCAAATTGTAAGCTCGCAGTACTCATAAGCAAATTAGAAATATTCAAGAAGATGGTCTTTTGTACTGCATCTCTTATTCAGACGATATATCTTAATTTCCCTTTCAGACGCTATGTTAAGAAACAGACAGGTTCATCCCATCACCCTTAAATCAGACATCTCTCAATGAATGATTGTATCTCTCGTTTTGCTACAAATAGATGCCCTTGAAATCTGTTTTTCTAGGAAGCTGAATACAAATTAAATACTCATTCAACTTATGACAACTTAGAAGCGTCAGCAATCAGATTCAAACAATGATAGGAGGTTATGAACTTTTCCGTAAATTGGTAAACATTTTGTTGAAAGGATCAAAATATCCCCCGTGTAATCACAAAATAAACCCAGAGAGAAATCAGGCCCTCGTAAAGAAGACCACACATCTAAAGATCCAACTGGAAATTTATATCATCGTCACTGTCAACCATTATGCCGTTAACAGCCTGATACGTTTCTTAGAACTTGAGGCATATTCCTTGCACTGAGATAAACACATAGAAGCCAGTCAAATTATTCCAATTCGCCAAGGCAATACAGCGCAACTCGATGAATGGTAAAGCCATATTCAGATCACGGGAGCAAAACTATTACTAATATAAATGAAGCATGTCCTCTGTTATTACTACAAATGAGACATATAACGTCAATCACACATATGGTCCTTCTATGAACTGAATTTTCACATAAAAGGCAACAATCAACTCATCTCTTTAATTCAGAGAAAATGGTAAAACCATCCCAAATCAATATGCAGTGAAGGAAAGAGATATAGGAGAATTACATACTCTATTCCCGTCACAGGAAAAAGTTCTATATGCTCAGCCACATAAATGGCCTTACTGATACAACTATAAGTGAGACATGATGAATATACCAACGGTTTATTCGATTAGAGAGTGGGGCAATCAAATTGCTCAATCCTGGCATCACTAATATTGAGACATGCCATGGCCTCAGCCAAGCCACAGGAACTTTCAACCAACACATTAGGATCATTGTAGTGCCTAACAGCCTGAATGATTCCCCTAAGTCGCTTGTAAGGATCTGAGCAATCGAAGATTTCTGATCCCACAAACACACCATCACATCCCAGTTGCATCATAAGAGCAGCATCCGCTGGAGTTACAATGCCTCCGGCAGCAAAGTGTACGACAGGAAGCCTGCCCATTTGCTTAATTTGCACTACTAGATCGTAAGGTGCCTCTATCTTCTTTGAGAATGCAAAAACTTCGTCC